TATGAACACTTTCAAGAATCAAAAATTACACTTAAAAAAAACTTGTAATTTAATAATTGCCATTGTAAATGGATTAGCATAAACATTACACCATCTAAAACAAGCTTTAAAACATCAAAACAGTTTAGGGTAATGTTTCTAGTCCATTTCCAGCAACAAATGTGCAAACTTTCATATGAGCAGAAGACAGAAAAAACGATTTTTTTTCAAGCTGTTTGCACAAAAAAAAAACAACAACAAACAAACCTAGGCTCTGATACCACTGATGGGTTTTGAGCATTCTAACACTTCCTAAGTGTACATGCAACCCTAATAACCTTGGATCTATGTTTGTCTAATTATCATGCAAAGTTGAATTCCAAGGTTATATTCCTATCTAGCATACATGGGGAACAAATTTTAACTTGCATGAAAGATAGAATAACTTACCTTGTTGTTGCTTATGATCCTTGAAACCTTGTGAGCCTAGCACCCCAAGTGTGATGCCTCAAATGCTTCACACAACACCAAATGCTTTTGGAATGACTTTAGAGAGAATACACACTTCTAAAATCGGCCTAGCCCTCTTGTTTCTTATGTGTATCCGATTTTGGTGGAGAATGGGTTTCTTATATAGTGTTGACACATCTAGGGTTACACCATGTAAACCCTAATGTGTCATGACTCTTCATTTCCATGAACCATGGGTTTGTAACTCCCATGGAGCATCCATGGAGCATCCTATGGGTGGAACCCAACTTGATAATCCATGGAGCCTCTTAGCCCACTATATAAGATATGGAAGATTTACATAATCTACCCATATATTTAATTAGTTATCTTTTGATCACTTAATTAATTCTAAATTAATTCTTGATCAAACTAATTAAATAATATTATTAATATATTAGAACTTATAATATATTAATAAACCATAAGTGTTATTTCTCTCATTTTAGTTTATCCAATTGCATGGTGCCATGCAACCCAAATGGACCATGCTGGGTCGGGTCAAGTACATACCAGAAATAGTTATGGACTTAGACACCTTATCCAACATAATCATGGTGTTCAATTTCCTCCAAAGACTTTTATCGTTATAGTATTAGTGCAAACCTAGGTATTATTTTATTCAGAGTGTTTTAGTCCCATTATTTTTATAGTTGCATATCTTGTATGATTAGATATGTCAGTTCACTATAAACAATGCTCTGATACCAATCTGTCACACCCCCGAACCAGACGGCGGAAATGTCCAGGGGCTTGGTTGACTTCATTCTTGTAGTATCATCACAGAGTATATAATTGAAACATAACATCATCATCATCACACATGTAATATTACAACTGTCATTGGTTTACATCAAATATTGTATTTCAATATTACATGCCAAAATATTCTAGTATGATGAAAACAAAACATAACAAAATATCCATGTAATCTTGCTGACCGACCTGGTCAACGATTTCCTCAGAATACAAGTTAATTTAAAAAGGTCGACATAAAAATGTTGGTGAGTTCATAAGCATGTTTGAGTAAGATGTTTTGTATTATTTTGTAAGCACCAGAAAATCCGATATTTTTCGAAAAACAGTTTGATATGTTTGTGTCCGATCTTGTATTAATGCATGTGTGTTAATGTTTGTGAGAATATAAAGAGAATGACCCCAGACAACCCGATGTTGTTTGCGAAAGAGAATGTTGGAATCTCAACACCCGAAGTTGAGTACCAGCACGTGAAGGTTACCGTGTTATCCACAAAAGATGGAAGTCCACCATACAACAATTAGGTGGCACTTAGTTTGTAAAACACTTTTTCTCTTTTTTTTTTATATGGGCCATGAATGAGGAGAAAGGAGAGAGAAAAAAAATGTTTAGGCCTACATTGAACACAGTCGAAATTGTTGGCCCAATATGAAGGTTCTCGGCCCATTGGGCCCTTCTTATGGGTTTACGGCCCAAAGGTGGTGAAGGGATGGGGTTTACGGCCCAACATTGTTCAAGAGATTTGTTCACGGCCCATAAAGGCCCATGAGAATGAAATGGGACATTTTAGGCCCAATAAAGCCCATGAGAAGTCTTATGGCCAAAAATGCTATTATTTAATGATTATGGGTCCAACTAGGGCCCATATAAGGATTCTTAGCCCATAATGACCAAGTTATGAGTTTATTGGCCCATTAGGCCCAATAAGGGGATCCTAGTTCATTCTGAGTTTGAACTGGGATATGAGGGTTTTAAACCTATAGTTGAGTATAAAAGGTGCATTGAATTAGGTTTTGAACTTCACTCATGAGTTCTGATTCAAATGGTTGATTTTGAATGAGCATAATACATGACATCAACTTAGATTACAAGTTATACAAGAGTTGATTACATGAATACAGAATTTCCTAGCCAAAAATGCTAGTTGTGACACATAAAGAGCACCGGTCTCCATGGAGTTACTAAGCTAATTTTCTTATATGAAATCATAATACACCATAAAATCGTTGGGTTAGATATTTGTAACTTACCAAGATACACTCGATTTGAATGATCGTTTTTTCATCATTTTAGCTTATAGGTTAGGTTGTGTGTTTCTTTTTCTTTCTGTATGTGGTCCAAGTTTTGTTTTCACTTCAAAATGGTTTAATTGCAAGAAATAGTTGTGTAACTTACCAAGACACTACTAGAAAAACAGCCTTTTACGACGCGCAATTAATGACACACAATGATAGAGGACGCGCATTTGTGCGTGCCCTAAAAATTAATGTCAGTTTTCCAAAATTTGAAGGATAGAGGACACGCATTTGTGCGTGCCCTAAACTTAGTGTCAAACAAAACAAAATTAAAAACACGGAGGGCGCTTATTTTTAAGTGTGTGTCATCTACAAATGTCGTTTTATATTTTTTTTAACTAAACGCGCGTTTTTAAAGAGGGATCCTCTAAAATTCTAAAATTTTGAATACCTTGCTTCTGCACTCTCTCCTCTGGATCGCCTTATCTCTCGTAAAATCGCACATAGCCATTATCTCCGTCCTCTCTCTCTCTTACCCTAGACACAGCCACTGGCCATTCACGAAGATGCCTTTTTACCCTTTCCTTCTTCCTTGCTCCATATTTTTGACCTTTGTTGGAGCTATCTTTTTCTCCCCCGTTGCCACCAACAAACCACATCCTTATTCATTACCCTAAAAACCAAACTAATCTTTCACCTCTCATAATCTCTCTCATAACACTTAGGTTTTTGGCAATGAAAAAAATCGCTCTAGTGTTGACTCTCTTGTTTATGTATTGTTATGATCTTCTCAAATCAGAGTTTCCTTGAGTGAGCTCACATTCAATTCTATAACTTGCCTCTCCTCTTCTCTACAGACCTAATTATGACATCTAGATGTACGAATCGCTCTACTGTTGACTCAGATTTCTCCAATTTCTTTTGAATTTTCAGATTGTTGAGCAGAAGGTGAAGGAAGTAGAGATTACTGAGCATGATTTGTCATGATTTTTTGTTCTGCTTACAAGCCCTAGGTCCGATTTCAAGAAATATCTCATTCTATTCAATGAAGCAGGTCTGATTCTTCTCTTCTGGTTGCACTAAGGTATGTCGTGATTACCATTATTCATCTAATTTCTTTCCTTCCACAGCAGCTATTACCTGTAACTAGCTGGAGCATAGTTGATGAATAGTGGAAAGAATGGTATGAGGTATAACGGTAAATTCCATGTAATAACATATGCACACAACCCATTTGATCAAATGTCTCTTTGAAGTTGTAACTTTGTTGGTTATAATATTTTGATTATCGAGTCCTTATTTGGAGTTATTGTTGGCTTACCTCTCCCACTTGAATATGAATTTACTTCCATGGCTTGACAAAGTTACATTGTTTGATTAATTTGTATTCAGGTTAAAGTAAATTGGGTTTGCTGAGATTGCTCCTCTGTAAATCGCACCTTGAAAACAAAATAAAGAACAATATTAGAAATTATGCAAAGGGTATTTTAGGTTATATGATTAGAGAGTACCATGTATTCACAACACATTAAGTGAAGCTCCAAAAGTTACAGCAACTAAGAGGAAAATGATAAATAATGATCTTTTCTATTACTAAGTTGTCAAGAATTATCGATATTATAAATGATAAAAATAACAAAGAAAACATATATTATTGATATGGTTTTAATTCATCTTTTTCCTAGTTTATGCAGTAAAGTTGTTTTTGAAATATTGAAGTTTGTTGTTGCATCTAAGGAGCATATGGTAGGATGGTATAGCACTGGCCTAAAGCTAAGGGAGAATGATCTTGATGTTCATGGTCTATTTAATGAGTAAGCATTAGGATTTTACACTCGAGTTAAATCTTTTTATTTTGTGATATTTACTGAGGAACCTTGTTACTGCAAATAACTGAAAGAGTTTCCTTGCTACTTTCTGAAATCGAATCCCTTTTTCATCATTGAGCGAAAGCCTCTTTCCAGAAAACAACCCTTAAAAGACCATTCAATATCGAAGTCCCAAACGATTGTTGCATATCCAGCTTCACCACGTCTGATCCTTTACTCTCTTTATTCTTTAACCAAGCCTCATATATCTCTGCCGTGGATGCTCTAAGATCTGATACTCGAATAGGTGCACTTGTCGCCAATAGTCCTCATAAGGAGAAAGAGCAAAGATGACTCATCAAACACATCAGAAAACTACAAGTATGATCTATCAATCACTCATGAAGTTGATAGCATTAAGAATAGGGTTTTAAGTCAGAAAAAAGAAACGGATCTGATGAATTGGCAATTGCTTATGAAGAGAATCAAAGGCTCAGATGAAGCTTGGAGGTTGCTGAGTCATCAATTTCTGAGCTCAAAATGGAAGTAAACACTTTACAGAATCATGCAAATGAAATGTGTAAAGAAACACAAAATTTGCAACAAGAACTAGCTATTGAAGTTGCTTCAAGTCAAGAATTAATGAAAGAGGTTACAGATCTTAAATAAGAATGTTCAAGGTTCAAAAACGATCTACAACAGTTGAAAAAAATGAAATTAGAGAAAATACCAATTCTACCCCTTCAAGAATCGGGGTCTACATCAACAATTAACTCAACAGAAGGGCAAAATTTGGAACTTTTAAACGAGTTGAAGATAGCAAAAGCTGAAAGTGAAAGTCTTGTTAGAAAGATGGAACAAATGGAGTGTTACTATGAAGCACTTGTGCAAGATCTTGAAGAAAACCAAAAAAATATTCTTAGAGAGTTTCAAAGCCTAAAAAACGAACACTCAACATGTGCATGCTCAATAAATGATCAGATGTTAAGATTTGATGAAGAAAGACGTGAATTGAGTTCCATTAATAAGGAGTTACAAAAAAGAGCTACAACTTCAGAATCAGCTCTGAAAAGGGCTCGATTGAATTACTCAATTGCAGTGAGTCAACTCCAAAAAGATCTTGACATGTTGTCTTTTCAAGTTTTGTCCATGTTTGAAACCAATCAGACTGTGATTAAAGAAGCTTTCTCATATTCATCTCAAGGGCATGAAGATTTAGTTGATGATGATCACCGGAGTAAGAATCTTTCAGGTGGTGGTGATGTGCTTTCCGGTGACCTGAAAAAATATTTAAGCTTGCAAGAAAATATATACAAGAAAGTGGAAGAAGATCTTGGTGAAATGTGCTCTACAAATTTGTACTTAGATATGTACTCAGGGGCACTTTCGGGAACATTAATGGAAGCAGTTTGTCATATAAGAAAAACAGAAGAGAAATTACAAGAATTGACACATAATTACCGAAGTTTCTAGACAATCTATAATAGGTTTGATTTTTAGTCTGGAATTTAATCATTTTAGTGGTGTTCTAAAATCGTAGTCCAATGCTTTTCATATACATCAGTGGGATCATGAGTTGTTGGCTACACAGATAAAAATAATGAGTATAGAACCGTAATGGTTATTTAGTTGCATGTTTAAAAAAAGTTAATAAATAATAATCGTTATATATATTTCTTCAAGTGACAAAACAATCAAATGCCTAATTTATAATTAATCCGACTAACCCGATTGGCTTGACCCTATTAACCCGAAACCCGATTGACCCGAACCCGACTAACGCGTAGCATAATAGGGTCGGGTTTCGGGTCAGATTTTTTTCTAAAAAAACTCAAATAACACGACCCGATTAACCCGAAACCCGATCGGGTTGACCCGATTAACACCCCTAGCTACTCACACCTTCTCATCCTTCTGTTCTTTATCTTTTGTTATCCAGCCAATATATAAACCTCAGCTTCAAATATTGCTCTTGAATTTATGTGCTCATGCAATGTAATGCTATACAAACCTCAGCTTGCATTCCACTATTCTCATGTATATATTTCTAGTTCTTACATCTATTTCTATTCAAATAAGACTTAGTATGTAATTTCATGTCTTCTTGGTCTGATATAGTAGCTAAAGCTCTAACACCTACATTATAAGCCGTTTTTTTGTTTTTACTAATTTGAACTTATTATGCTCAGGTTAGTGACGACAGAACTTCTTGTTGGATTTATGTTGCTTCCGGGTGCCATATCTACAGAATTCTGGTTTTCTCTTCCTCCAATTTGCTTTCTTTATTTACTTACTTGAAGTTGGCATTTGGTTTATGCATATTAGGTCTGGTATTAGGCAACATATATAATCTCTGACATGCAAGTTTAATTTTTTTTATAGGTCTCTTTGGCAGATTCTTTAGTGGATAAAGGAAAGGATATCCTCCTTATACCTGAACAAACTCAGGTAAGCTTTGACAGGGTCTTGTTGTTATTCAAGTAGTCCCATCTTTAAATTGGTGTAACTTTGAATGTTTGATTAATGTGCATTGATGTATTATTGTATGAAATCTTAATGTTTGAAGGTTGTGGACTCTGCTATAGTGAATCGCTGCGGTCGGAAATTCAGATGATAGTATTGAATGAAACTGAGAGTATGTGGCATGTGATTGTTAATTTGTGTGAATTATTGATCATTTTTTTTCTAGATAAAATATCCATATTTATAATCTAATACTCTAATTCTCCCATTTCATTTACCCTTCATAGACTGAGCTACTAGCATATCATAAATCATAAATAATGCATAATTTAGTCTAATTTATTTGTACTGTGGTGCCTAAATGTTAATGTTTGATTTCATTGTGTGTAATATTTTTCATATTATGTGATCCCACATCTGCAGGCTCTGACTGCTTAATATTGAGAAGTGTTGGTTATGGGTACACTAAAGGAGGTAGTGTTTCGTATGTTCTGCTGACACTGAGCAGTTGTTTTCTTGTGGTTTCATGGCTGTTTGTACCATATATCTTCTACCCATCTGGCTTCGAATGGCAGAAGTATGCTTCCAGTTATTTTATTTTCTTTTTCCAAATTCAAGAATCTATCTTATAAGATTTTGATGATTGGGATGTGATGTGAACAGAGTTATGGAAGATTTTGATGATTGGACTAATTGGCTTATGTATAAAGGTGGAGTTGGAGTGAAAGGAGACAATAGTTGGGAATCCTGGTGGGATGAAGAACAGGCACATATCCATACAATCAAAGGGCGTGTACTTGAAACTATCTTGTGCTTGAGGTTCTTCATATTTCAATACGGGGTAGTTTACAAGCTCCATCTCACTGGAAATAATACATCATTATTGGTACTTACTATGTTCATTTATTTCACTTTTTTTTCTATGTGAAAATATACTGACAAAAAATACATTACATGACATGATATGTTGGTTGAGTAGCTTTACGGGTTCTCATGGGTGGTATTAGATGGAATTGTGATGATATACTCTCTAGTTCATAGGATCAAGGATTGTCTATTAGCCTGAGGTATTATCTGCAACGAACATTCCATGTTTGATTCTTCTAATAATTCTATTAGCATATTAATTTTTTGACTTTTATTTGATTAGGTCACAAGAATTATCGGAGCGGGGGTTCATTAGTCTTAAAGAATTATGAAAGGCAAGATGCAACTCTCCTTAGTTGGAATTTGATGTTTATCATCTTTGTGTATATCTTTTTAGTTTGTATATAGCATTACATTGCAGAAGGTGTCCCTTAATAGCAATGTAGTATTAGGTTATATAGTTAGGGAAAACCTCTTAATAACAATGTACAATTAGATCCCCTTAATATCAATGTATTACAATTTTTTGACATGATGTTATTGGATGAAGTTGATTGTTTTGGTATATATTTGTTTACATATTTTTGTATTATGCGTAAATGAGTATCGTAAAGACGCGTCGTAAATGCATATCGTAAATTGTCACTGAAGTTTATGACACGCAAATGTGTGTCATCTTCATTTATGACAGGGGCTTCCTTGATACGCATTGCGTGTCATAAACACGCGTGTCGTAAGGTTACGACACGCAAATGCATGTCGTCTTTCTTTAAGACAGGGTCTTGCTTGATACGCATTGTGTGTCATAACTGCGTGTCGTAAATGCGTGTCATAAATGCGCGTCGTAAATAGACGACGCGCAAAAGCGTGTCGTCTCTCGTTATGACGTGAATACCGAAATTGATCAGTGGTTTGTTACGTTGGTTGTTTAAGATATGTTGTTTACCAAAATGATATAAAAAGTCCACCTTTTTGTAAAAGGTCATCTTTTGTCCTAAAAATCGAAAATTTACAATTATGACACATTTTTGGTAAAAATGACATTTTAGGTCCTTTAAAGCCAAAGTTTGCATTTAATGCTAGTTTTAAGTAAAAATAACATTTTTAACTCACCTTTGTCAAAAATATCATTTTTGGCTTAAGTTTATGAAAATGTGCATTCTCGGCCCCCCTTTATCAATAAAGTTATCTTTTTGCCCAAGTTTTAAATAAATTTACATTTCCAGCCCTTTTTATCGAAAACTTGCATTTTTGGCACAACTTTGTTTAAAAGGACACTTAAGCCCACAAAAGTCCAAAAATTTACAATTTTGGCCCAAAAGCCGTGAAAGCCCAAAATGAGGCCCATTTGTGAAAATTTACACTTTTAGCCCTTTTTCAAATCATAAATACCATAAAGATTCATATTTATCAAAATAAATCCCCTTTTGGTCCCTTAAAACCGTGAGCTACATATAAGTACCTCATTTTTGGTTATTTTGTCATTTTGACCCTCTTATGCAAATTTTCTTAGTTTTTAACACTTTGAAATGTTTTAAACCTTTTATTTGCATAATAAGTTGAAATAAGTGTCATGTTCTACAAATACCATCACATTTTAGTAGATCTTCAAGTTCATGGAGTTTATAACACATAATCACACATATATCATGAAAAACACACAAAATCATGCATATACACATAGATCTACACAAAACAACTTGTATTCTCCCCCAAAACATAGTAAAACCCGAAAATAGGGGGTATGAACTCACTTTTGCTTTGGAGATTTCGGTTCTTGATGAAGGATGGATGAGATCTTGGCCCTAGAAGCTTCTTATGTGGAGTTTTTCGAACTTAAGAAGATCTAAGATCATAAATCACGAAATGGAGTGTTAAGAGAAGTGAGTTTAACATAAACATGAAGTTAAACCTCTTGGATGGAAGTAACTTACCAAAATGAATGGATTTTTGGTGAAGTTCTCTTGATCACCCACACAAGCCCCCACGGAAATTTGAAGAAGAAAGGATGTGAATTCTTGAGGATTTAGAGAGGTGTTTTTAGTGTGTTTGGAAGTTTGAGTGGAGAGGGGAGATTTTCCTCCTTTTAGCCGAGAATAAGAAGGAAGAGAGAAGGAGGAGAGAAGTGTTATAAAGATGTTGCATGGATGTATGAGATTTCCTTGATATTTGTTGGGCATATGCATGGAAGTCCACCATACAACAATTAGGTGGCACTTAGTTTGTAAAACACTTTTTCTCTTTTTTTTTATATGGGCCATGAATGAGGAGAAAGGAAGAGAGAAAAAAAAAGTGTTTGGGCCTACATTGAACACATTCAAAATTTTTGGCCCAATATGAAGGTTCTCGGCCCATTGGGCCCTTCTTATGGGTTTACGGCCCAAAGGTGGTGAAGGGATGGGGTTTACGGCCCAACATTGTTCAAGAGATTTGTTCACGGCCCATAAAGGCCCATGAGAATGAAATGGGACATTTTAGGCCCAATAAAGCCCATGAGAAGTCTTATGGCCCAAAATGCTATTATTTAATGATTATGGGTCCAACTAGGGCCCATATAAGGATTCTTAACCCATAATGACCAAGTTATGAGTTTATTGGCCCATTAGGCCCGATAAGGGGATCCTGGTCCATTCTGAGTTTGAACTGGGATATTAGGGTTTTAAACCTATAGTTGAGTATATGAGGTGCATTGAATTAGGTTTTGAACTTCACTCATGAGTTTTGATTCAAATGGTTGATTTTGAATGAGCATGATACATGACATCAACTTAGATTAAAAGTTATACAAGAGTTAATTACATGAATACAGAATTTCCTAGCCAAAAATGCTAGTTGTGACACATAAAGAGCACCGGTCTCCATGGAGTTACTAAGCAAATTTTCTTATATGAAATCATAATACACCATAAAATTGTTGGGTTAGATATTTGTAACTTACCAAGATACACTCGATTTGAATGATCGTTTTTTCATCATTTTAGCTTATAGGTTAGGTTTTGTGTTTTTTTTGTTTTCTGTATGTAGTCCAAGTTTTGTTTTCACTTTAAAATGGTTTAATTGCAAGAAAGAGTTGTGTAACTTACCAAGAGTTCCTGGTTATGGAAACCTACTTTCAATTTCTCTGTAACAACCAATGAGGTTTAATGAAAACCAACTTATAATTTCAATCGAACATGTCAAAGGAATTAGATCGTGAATAAGTTGTACTTTGGGATTTAGGTAATCATGTTTTCAATACCTACATTGCTTTTATTGTAAACGTCATTATTTGAAAATGAATTAGGAATGATATTTTTTATGAACCGTTGTATCTTGTTGTTTATGTCTTTGCATATATTTATTTCATTTATGTTGCAAATTAGAGAAGATTGAAAACTTAGTGTCAAAATTGGAAAATATTGAAATCTTAGTGTCAAAATTGAGAAAAATTGAAAACATAATGTCTTTTGCACCACTTTTTTTTTCTGACACGTCAGCAAAGCAACCGGCTGAAGCCAACCGATTAACCGGTCAGAATTGCAACAAATTGAAAACATAGTGACTTAATTGTAACAAAAAAAAATATAGTGTCAAAATCAAAAAAAAAATAAAGTGAAAAGTTAGTGACTTTTGTATCATTTACCTTTTATTTGTGTATTATAAGTAGCGTAATATACGTTCGGTGAATGGGTTGATCGATGTGGTTTGGCCGCACTCAGTGTCACATAGACAGGGGAACACCGCCTTCGTATGCGGTCTTGAGTGTGGTTTGGCCGCACCTTTCCCAAAAACTGTTGCACTACCCTCTCTCTCTCTCTCTTCATTCATGTGTTTTTCTTTCTCTTCTCCTTTCTCTGGCCTCTCTATTTCTCTACCATAGTTCTCACCCCCTAGGTGTGATAAAGAACCACTTTGTGTGGTATAAATGATGTGGCTCCTACTAATCAATAGGAGAGAGTATGGTTCTTGCGGCATCACTCCCTCCTGTCTTAAAAAAAAGGTTAATACCATTAAGTAGCAGGAACCAAATGCTTTCAATGCATATATGTGTCTTACAGTTTTACTTATAATTCTAGACTCGTACTACTCTTGGTTACACGCCCAATGAGTTAAACCTAAATTGAGTGTTTATACAGGTTTAAGTAACACCAAACAAAATCAAGACCAATACACAAGTTTGAGATGAAAAATCGTGGCGGATTAGAAACCTGATGCCATTTAGCCATTCAACCAACTATTCATACACCTAGGATTATAATGGAGTAGTCGTTTGAAATCAACTATTGAGAACATCAAAGAAAATTTGGCTGTAAAGGCTTGATTTTATTCAATACATAACAAGGGTATATATATAAAAGTTTACAACAAAATCCCTGAATATATGGAAGGGATATGGAATACAATAAGAAATATACGTTAGAAGATATGGAAGATATGGTTTCCTTCACTCCCCCTGAAGTTGGAGCATGAAGGTTCCGAATGCCCAGCTTGCCAAGAAGAAAACGAAAAGATTTAGTCCCAAGTGGTTTTGTGAAGATGTCAGCAATTTGATTCTTTGTACTGATAAGCATAGGCTGAATTTCTTTGGACTCCACTCGTTCTCGAACAAAGTAACAATCCATTTCTACGTGTTTGGTGCGTTCGTGGAAAACTGGGTTGTTGGCAATATGTCTAGCAGCTTCATTGTCACAGTATAGTGGAGTTGGGCCATCTTGTGGAGCTTGAAGATCTTCAAGTAACCATCGCAACCATATGAGTTCACTAACAGTGGCAGCCATGGCACGGTATTCTGCTTCAGCTGAAGAACGGGAAACAATTGATTGCTTTTTCGTCTTCCAAGAAACAGGCGCTCCAACTAACATTATGAAGTATCCGGTTTTTGATCGTCGATCCATCGGGCACCCCAACCAATCTGCATCACAGTAAGCTGTGAGTTTTAAATCTCCATTTGAGGGTAAGAGAATTCCTTGCCCAGACGTCGATTTTAAGTAACGTAGAATTCGAATGACGGCATCCATATGTTGTTGTCGAGGTTCTGCAACGAATTGACTGAGGGTATTCACTGAAAAGGTGATATCAGGTCTAGTGACTTGCAAGTATAATAGCTTTCCAATGAGTCATCGATATCGGCTTGCATCAACAAGAGGGGTATCCTTGGTGTTATCTAACCGAATATTTTGTTCCATTGGAAAGTCACTTGGTCGGCATCCTTGAAGCCCACTTTCTTCTAGAAGATCTAATGTATACTTTCTTTGGCTAAGAACCAGACCTTCTGATGTACGCGCAACTTCTATGCCCAGGAAATATTTCAAGGGCCCCAAATCCTTGATGCTAAACTGTTCATTTAGATACT